AAGTGTATGCCCAATAATGATCAGATTTAATTCTGTTTTTATCTTGTACCATACAGTCTGATCACACAAGAAATTGGGGAGAATAATTTATTACAGAGATCATGATTAACAGTAGCACTTAATTTTTTTCAAGGATTTTTCTAAGGAATGAATTTTGATGTTGTATTTATACTAATGAATGGTAAAGAAGGGATTTAGGATATCTAATGATTACAAATATATTTGGAGTTGTGCTTGAAGTTAGGAACGACAGACGGCTGGATGATACTGTACACCCCATATTTGAAATAAAAATAAAAGGGATGAAGCAAGGAACCTTTTGTTTTTGTTTTTGTTTTTAAAATAAAAGCAAAACGTACCATTGGTTGGGTGTCGAGCAAATGAGATAGAAAACCTTTTAACAGCAGAACCGCGTGTGGTGTCTGAGAAAGAGAAAAACAGGTACCTGAAATTTGTAACAGCTACCAAAAGAGGGACATTTTAAAAAACGGAAAGGAAGAAGAAAGAAAAAAAGAAAAGATGAGAAGGTATTAGAACTGAGTGGCATGCAGAAGGGACCAAGGAAAAGGGCTAAAATCTAAATAGAGGTTAAAAAGAAGAAAATTTGGATTGTTGGTAACTACAAGATGTGTAATGAAGTGTATGAAAACAAGCAGAATGAGCTGGTGATTCTGGCACACAAAGTTGTATCAGATTAGAGTTGAACACTAAGTAGTGAATTGGCGGGAAAACAGCATGAATACTGTTTCACCTCAGAGTTATAAAGGTGTGCTTCAGCATCTTTACATTCTGAAATCTAGCGACAGAGTTTCTTCTCTACCCCAGGTTATCCAAAACTGAAAATTTCCTGCTCCTTTGTAATGCAAACCCCACCGAAAAAAAAGGTCAGGAATCCTAAAATTTTCACCGTCAGTATTTAACTTATTAGTTTATAATTTCTTTCACTTCTTGTATATGCTCCAAGTAATTTATTTCATTTTAAGATCAACAGGTAATGATAAAACCCGAAGTTTAAAATGAGAAAAGAATTTAAAAGCCAAAATTTTAGTCTACTTAAAAAATGCACTTGCTGAAATCTCCTGGCACGCATTACAAGTCTGTGAGCTAGTGTTCAATTCAAGACAGAAACAAGAATAAACTACGCTATTAAGTTAAACGTAAGCAAGCCTTGGGAAATAAAGAAGCAATAGAACTCATACAATTAATACTAAGGCAAAGGATTCTAGGATTCCATTAAAATCAGTAACCTAGGATTTATCTTTAGAAGTTTAATGTGGCACATGGGTTTGTGCGTGCATGTGCGAGAGTGTGCACATACCATCTATGAAGCCAGAAGAAGTCAGCTTTTTACGATGAGTACGAGCATAATCCTGTAGGTTAGGTGCACTTGAAGAACCCCCGAGCACTGAGGTGCTAAACAGGCCCGCACAGTGAGACCCTGATGGGAGTTAGAGAAAATACATACAACAACCAGGTGTTCGTCCATTCACATTGGGGATGCATGCAGCATGCAAGCACATGGCTCTTACCACACAAAAGGCAGCTTTTGGCAGTGCCTTGGACAGGTTCACAATATGCTTGTAATGTCAGAGTGGTACTTGTAGGCTGAAACTATCATAATTTATTGTGCTTCTACTCATGACACAGCACCCTCTGCTATATGTGCAAAGAGAGGACTGGCTTTAACAAAGTGATTTCTTGTCCTGTTTTCACTTTTGGTAAAGAAAAGTTACCAGTTAGCATCAACGTAAACATAACCAAAACAACAAAACAAAAACAAGATGATGATGATGTGAAAGTTGTGTGGTTTTACACCTGCAGTTCTGAAACAAATACAAACTGGAAAAATACTGCTCATTGCTTACATCCAAATCAACCTTTCAGATGACAGCCTGCAATGAAACACTTATGCACTTCCAGACTTAATATGGAAATATTTCCCTTCTAACCCCAACAAAATGTTAACCAAATTGTAAATACTCTATCCGTATTTCAGCTACCATCACTGACAATGTTACAAAGTGAAAATACCCAGAAGTTCCCTCAAGTTTAGCTTGACTTCTTTTCCTGAGAAGACTGTTGTACATCTCCATGCAAGAGAGTACTTTAGTTACAACTCATACATTCCTGCCCCTAGAATGGGAGTTTTAACAAATCACTGAAAGCCACAGACAGAAATATAAAAATAACTTTCATAATCATCAACCATAAATGAAATTTACATACAACAATGAACAAAATGGAAGAAAATGTTGCAATTTTCTTCCTTCCGTTTTTACCACTAGTTGAAAGGAGAAGTGTGTTTTCACTCAGAACTTATCTTTTATATCTTAGATAAGTAGCAGCAGATTTTTTTTGAAAACCAACTATCTATCCAGTGACACTTCCTTTCATTACTTTTAACAACCCAGTGAGGGGAAACATTACTAGCACATGTGACCAATCACAGCCAAAATAAATTGGTGCCTGGTCTGTGGCAAAAGCGTTTCACACCAAATGTAGTACCTTAATCTACGCACAGAAATACATCAACTTCCACAAGCCATATTGTGTCACACACTGGCAAAAGAAAAGTCATTTAACTTTAGCAAGCACACAATAAAAAAAACATGACTTTGATAAACAAGAGCACCTGATGTATGCATTTTACTAAGAGAAAAATATAATAGGGAGAAAAGTATCACAGAAAGATTAGACATACAAAAAATACAGATCTTTACAAAGAAAGGAAAAGCTACTTTTAAGTTTATGCATATAGCTTATGCATTTTCTACACTTCTTTTTTCCCATGAAAAGACACACTAACAGAAAAAAAATGCAGTATTGATTTACAGTAGTGCAAGATTTCGTCTTTTTGCATATGAGTCATATGTATGCCTGTTTCAAGGAAGCAACAGAAAAGCACCACTTGAATTAAAAGAATTTGAAACTACTCATTGAATTATTGCATGATTCATTCTAATGCTGAAAGGAAGAAATTGATTTTAGGAGAGGGAATGTGTGCAAAAGCCCTGATACTACCAAGAAACTGGAGGTTTGTTCCCCATCCCCCTCCCCTTGCTAGAACACCTTCAATTCCATCAATTGCCCACAGCAGGAAATGTTAATTTTCAAGAAAAGTGTTTTAACAGTTTCCAGTGCAGGCCATTTCAATCCATAAGATTCTTGCAAACCCCCAAAACTCAGTCATGAACTACATTATTTTAAAAACCTGCTTGATGTTAAAAATAATCCTGTGTACCTGTTGCGAGCTGTACAGAGTCAGTACTGTGAACAGTCTCAAACAATTTGCTCTTTTCAGTTATAGTTTATTTCAAAACTTTGCTGCAGAAAAATTCAGTTCATAGGCCGACACTCAGCATATATAATTGATAACAAGTACTACTGGGTCCTGTTAACATAAAAGCTATTCAAAGAATGTACAACTTTACAAGAACAACGGGCAGATGAAAAGCTGCAAACATCAAACAAAATTTCAATTGTAGGCACATACCTAAACCACTCTGCTTTTGTTCCAGAATAGTTCTCGGTGTTCGTAAGTTACTATTGCTTTCTGAGAGGACCTGGATATAAAAAACAGAAAAATAAGGGAAAGTAGAACAGCAGCATGAAACGTCCATTTAACTTGATACAGCAGCCTGTTTCAGACAGACAAGTGTTAATAAGCTGTATGATAAGTGTTAGTAAAAATATGTAAAGGGAACATGAAAGATCATGCAATATCCCCTTCTGAAGGGAGTCCATTTCACATATGAGTTCCTTGCAATGAAGTGGTGCAAAGCAAGCATTCAGAATGAGAAAGGACACAGACCAAGACTGATATGAGAACAGACATTTGAGACATTTTATTTCATTTTACCAAATGCACTCTCCTAAACTGCGCCTGTATTGAAAAAAGGAGGGGAGGGAAGGAAAGACAGACAAGCTATTCAGGACACCATACAATCACTGATCCATGCACGGGCTCAATCAGTGTAATCTTCAGATGCTCACAGCCTTTACTGATATAAACTTTTCCTATGCAGTTTTAGAATTTTCCACAATAAAAAGAAATCATGACAATTTTTCAAAGAAAAAGGATACAATTAACAGAACACCATCCATTGTCACACATGTAAACAATATCTTGACATACTAAACAATCTTTAGATCTTCACTGGTACTTCAAAAAAGTTTACTGTTTTGTTTTTTTCTGCCTTTCCCCCCCAATATTCAGAAAAAAAAAAATCTTCAAAATATTGTACAAGTCAATGGATGATGTACTGTGTTGGGAGTTTCAGATACCTCCGGATACAGAAGGCAAGAATTATTAGTGCTAGAGTTTTTTCCCTGCAATAGTTAATACCAGGCCACTGAAAATATGATATATGCAAAACGAGTTTTGAATAGCAGTATGAAATACCAAATAAATTATTTTAAATGGTATTGGTTGCAATTATTATAAAAAAAAAGTTTTTCAATTTACCTACCACCAAATTAAGCAATGCTGTTTTTAAAGTCTTAAAGGACAACTAAACCAAAGCAGAAATCTGTTTCATCAGGCAGTAGACTAAGTCTTTTTTACTGTTGTAACATTTGCAATTCCTATAAAGAAACCAAATTTTTAGGAAAACATGTAACACATTCAGTGGAAAAACATGCACTTGCTCTTTTTCCCCCAGACATTCTCGGGAAGTAATTTTAAGAGGTGGAAGAATTTGCTTCAAACATAATCCATAACAAGGGATTAGATGTCCTTAAAGACAGTTGGTTGTTGCTTGGAATGCATAATAATGTTTAATGAAGTAAAGTTTAAAAACCTGTTGCCATGAGCCAAAAATACTGGATGTGAAAGCCAATGATTTAGGGGAGACAGGGGAAGAAGTGATTTGTTCCCCTGATCTGCGTCTTCGACGCCCAGTACCCACACCACTGGTGTAATGCAGCCAGGTACCAATACACTCTGGGCTAGACACACTCAGGGGGCTCTCTTCCTGGAAGTGAGAAAGGGGGCAAAAAACAGCAAAGCATGCAAAGTTAGTTTCAACAGAGCCAAATGAACAGAAAAGAAAAAAAAAAAAAAAACAATCTGCTCGCACCCTTTTATATACTGCTTTTAAAACTATTAAACAGTGAATAGGGAAGAGTAATATTACAATGTTAGGAAGTTACTGGTTCCACTTATATCTTTTAATCCAATTATATCTTTTAGTACAATACTTTGATCAAATTTCTGGTAGACTAATTATGAGGTATGAGAGAAAAGTAATTGTTATCAATAATTCATTCATAATTTTAAGAATTTCCCACATGTTGGAAACAGAAGATCTGTTATCCTTGACATACTGTTTAATAGTTTTCCCCCTCTAAGTACATTAAATTTTCCTATTTATTACTTAATACTCTTCTTTTTTAGCCTATAACCTTATCTAAAAGTTTCTCATTTTTAGAATTGCCTTTGAGACTTTACAGCTGACTCACTAATAGTAGCACCAACCCGACCGGTAGTAGTTTTCCAGCCCTAAAAAAGCCCTAATAATTATGTGATGCTGGACACCTATTAAGACTTCCAGGGAGGACAGTGTCAGGCTACAAGTCCCCCATGCCGTACATCATTATGTATCATTAGCACTCAACATTTTTAGCAATACAGGATTTGATTTCCAATACTGATGAGCTTTACTTTCTTGTTTTACTGTTAGGACTCTGCTTTTTTTATTCTTTTAATGACTCAATCACCGTTGCAATCCTTTTACAAATACTGCTGACCATACCCCAAATTAAAATATCCACATGATCTCACACCTGACAGTGTCCTTTCAAGTTAACGGACATAGGTGAAGAAAGAATTGCCTTATAGGAGAAAAAAAAAAAAAAAAAAAACAACTTCAAGGCAGTTGCAGTTTAAGTTGCAATGACTTTTTTTTTCTTTTACACTTCAAAATACCATTTCCTTTAAATATTCCAAATACTGGTTTTGCAGATTTCAGTAGGCCACACGAAACTTGCAATTTTACTTTTTAAAGAAAAGTTCCATGTGCAAGCAATGTAAACAAGCAATGAATGCTGAAATACATTGCGTCTGAAAATATATTATCTGCACAATCAAAATATAGCAATTTATGTTATTGATACCTTTTGAAAGTAACTTCTGCATAATTTATGAAAATGAAAATGGTTAAAAGTTTGAAGTAATAGACTATTAAGTTGTGTGTATGTGAACTCGTAACTAGGAGGGGAGTTTGCATGATCATAGTGAAAACAGCTTTTAAAAATCCAAAATATTGATGTTGTGAGCATTTGTTTATGATAAAACTTGGAAGTAGGAAATGTAAGACATTCACATTTATTATCTCTGTTAATTTATGGAAGTCATGTGAAGTTATACAGATATCTTTATAGAAGGGAACCATGCATCTTTTTCCCTCCATACTACCAATAACCAAGTTACTTGCAAATCTGTAATACTTTCATTGCATACAAACAGCCCATTCCCAACACAAACATGAAAGGAAAAGCTTTTGGTGTGAATCTTCATTTCTGATGGTTTTAAGCAACTGAAAATGAGGCAATAAGAAGCTGTTAGTCTGCTTCTAGCATTAATATCACAGAAGTGTCCCTATGCACCATTTGAAGCTTTGCTACTCAACCATACAAATGGTATCAGTGATACTGCCACGCATACCCCCACCTCTGTGACATTAAAGCTGTACCAGTGAAGCACACCTAGATGTTATGGCCTTCAAGACAGGAGACTAGACTGTTCAAGATGTTATCTACAGAATTCATGAAACACAAACCCCACCCACTTAAAAAAAAGCTTCCAGTTTATTCTCTTACCTTCAAAAGCTTGACAAGTGGAGTCACTTTCACCCCACGTGAAAGCAAATACATCAGAAGACATGTCTCTCACCTCCTGTACCTCCCCTACCGCCCCCAAGCCCTCCGTTCCCTCTCAGCATGATCACCCTGAAGGTTTGCTTAATTCCCAATAGCAGCTGTCTTGTAAGGATGAATACAAAAGCAATGTATGTTAGTTTGAAGATGTAGGTTTAGACTGAAAAAGTCTTCATCTTCAAATATCGGCTTTTCTAAAATGGCTTAAAAAGAAAAAAGGAAGTAAGTCTTATCGCAAAACAATAATTCATTTAAAAAATAAATGTTCCTTCAGACAAATTACTGCCATGGAGGATTTTCCATAGAATAAAACCAACCCTTTTGTGAGACATAACATCATACTGGTTCCGTGTAACCAAAAGGAGAATTACATTTGTTTTTATTTTGTTAAAAGTAAGCAAAAGTTAATTTCTGTGAAAGACATTATCTGGAACATAAACACTTACTTCAACAGAACCAATCTTCCTGGATCTTGGAAGGGGTGACTTTCTGTGTATGTGAATTGGGTCTGATACCATTGGCTTGAACATCACTACTGACCGATCTGCTTCGTCTCTTTTAGGAGCATGTGCCTCCTCATCACTGTCATTTCTATGAGAGGTTTTCTTCGAGCCTTCATTCTACAAACAATACATAGTTCATTTACAGTTTAGCTGCACACCTTGCAACATGTAGACAGAAGTGGTTGTTAAATAAATCTGCATAAACGTAAAGCAAGCTGATTTAAAAAATACAAGATGTAAATCATGTATTATTGAACAAATTGCTCTAGACTTCAATAATCTATGTGTACTTGCTCCTAACCAGCCACTGCATATAACAGCGTAGTCCTAATTAACCACACTCTTCAGCCAACGTATCTTAATCCAAGTTTCTGTTGACATAGTAATAAAATCCTGGCCCCACAAGTCAATAGAAGAATTCCAGCTAAGCTTTGCTTTCATTCATTTCTCAAAAACCAGGTGGTTAACTCCACAGATCTGCCCATATATTTTTGAAAATAGCAATCCTTCCTCAACAATCTGTATTCATAAACATAGAATCATAGAATGGTTTAGGTTGGAAAGGACCTTGAAGATCATCGAGTTCCAACCCCCCC